AAATCAGAGTGAATAAATGAAGACTTGGCCCACCACTTCTGAAAGGTTGCCGACCCCTGATCTAGTCTGACCTCCAGTCTAACGCAGGCCAGAGAACTTCCCCACAATAAGGCCTAGAGCAGCTCTTTTAGAAAAACACCCAATCATGATTTAAAAACTGCATGTGATGAAGAATCTGCCACAACCCGTGGAAAATTGTCCCAATGGTTAATTACTCTCACTGTTAAACATTCACAACTTCTTTCCAGTCTAACTTCACCGTCCAGTGACTGCATCATGCGAGACTGAAGAGCCCATTATGAGATGTTATTTTTTGCCATGTAGATAATTAGGGAGTTGTGATGAAGAACCCCTTAACCTTCTCTTTGTTAAGATGGAGCGCCTTGAGTCTATCACTGCAAGGCAGGTTTTCTAATCCTTTTGTACATTTTGTGCTTCTTCTCTGAACTCTCTCCAGTTTATCAACATCCTTCTTCAATTGTGGGCACCAGAACTGGACACGGGATTCCACCAGTGCCAAATACAGAGGGAAAATAACCTTTAGTTCTACTCAAGATCCCACCGTTTATGCCTCCCAGGATCACAATAGCTCTTTTGGCCACAGCGTGACACTGGGAGCTCAAGTTCAGCTGCTTCCCAAGATAGAGTCCCCCGTCGTGTAAGTACAGCCCACGTTCTTTGTTCCCAGGTCTGCACATTTCCGTTTAGCTGCATTGTATGGCTAGTGTTTGCTGAGCTCCAGGTCACCTCCGCTGAAATCCTGATTAGCCAGAAGACCTAGGGCCTGAACAATGAAAGCACCAGGCATGTTTTACACATACACAGACACTCATGGCGGCAAATGCCCGGCATGCGGAGAAGTTAACACATACAGCGTACCCCCGAGCACCCAGCTAGCAATGAGGACAGTGATTTTATTCAGAGAATAGGGAGTTTGGAGAACTGCCAGGGCAGGAATGGTAGTGCAGGGAGCCCTCTCCATTATTGCAGGGGCAAGGTGCCGGGGAAGGGTATGGTGCAGGCGGGGCAGAGCAGAGACCCCAACCAGGAGCCCTCTGCAGCTCGGCTGTCACAGCCCCACTCCCTCCCTCCTGTGATAGCGGGGATGCAGAGGGCTCTCTCTGCTGCCCACGGCCGGTGACAGCCTATTCCTGCAGGTGCAGTAGGGTGGCCTCCCCCACAGCCAGGCGGTCTCTGCTCTATTATCCCAACCTCTGCATTATCCCAATGCATTCCTTGTCTCACACAGCTTCCAGCTGCCAACGTTCCCTCAGACCTGTCTTGCTGCTTTGCTTATCAGATGGGAACGAAAAGCAAGCTGCAACTCCACTTGGTTCAGACTCTGCTGTGTAGCCTCTCGACTGCAGATTCTCACTCTAACCTCAGTTCTTCTGCGGGGGTGAGTTGGGCTGCAGTCCAGGAATGGTACCAATGTTATTCTTCCCCAGACTAAAACACGTGGCTCTGCCTCTAGACATTGGTCACCACTGCAGCTGCTGAGTTGCATTGTTCTGATTTTCTTATCTACCCTTATCACAGACAGAAACCCTCAGTGTGCCAGTTTATCTCCCTTGTATAGAAGCCTCACACCCTTCCCTGCACTAGTTTTCTACGCATAGTCTAGTGATTCCTGGTCTTCTTGCCTCAGCCGAATCTTCGAAATACATTTAGATTGTAATAATGTGAGTGCCCTCAGAGATGTGGGGCTGTTCAGTGGTGCTGGAACGAGGGGTCCTGGGGGTGCTTCCGCACCCTCTGGCTTGAAGTAGTAATCACAAACACATGGGGTCCATCTTCAGCACCCCCACTATAAAAACTGTTCCAGCCCCCTGGGGCTGTTGAGATTCTGCCCCTGGGAACAACACTGCTGGGCTACGTCAGCATTACATTTCCATCGAGGAAATGTTGGACAAACATAGGAAGGGGGTCTACAAAAATCCTTAGTGGGGCTCTGCTCTGTAAAGTGACCATCACATTCTTACTAAGAGAATCGTCTTCCTGGGTGTTTTACAGTCCAGGATCTGAGTAAGGACAAAGTTACTAATTTGTCCCGTTGGCTCTGCAGAGCCGATAATGCTATGGGGGAGTGAACTACATTTTATCATAGTCCGGCTTCTGCATCAACAACATTAACAGCATGCTGCGGGACGAGGAAGGATTTGGATAATGCGGCTGGTCAGATAATAGAGTTTCCGAAAATCAGGAGTATACTGTATATGACCCAGTACCACATGTTTTCAACCCCCTGATGCAGATATACACAGTGGAGTGTGTGTATGAGTGGGAGAGAGAGAGACAGGATAATTCCCTCATGCTTCAGGCCATAAACCAGCCACAGACTCTTTGGTTGAGAGAGAAAGTGGTTAGCAAGCCCTGAGTTGCTCTCACAAATATTTGCATGCACTATTTTTGGAGAGGTGTCGGTGCAGATCCGATGGCAGAACGTGGCTCATCGGGAGGAGTTTGTGTGCATGCACGGCTGATTGCGTATGCCATGTGAGAGGTCAGGAAGGTGGTTAGCCCTTCAGGGATGCTTCACCTGGAACACCAGGCCCAGTTCTCAATAGGAGAAAGATGTAGGGGAAAAAACGGGAGGCAGTTAAGTGAAAGAGCAACAGACATGGCAAAGAGGCTGGAAGGGCCGAGTGATGAAGAAAGGGCCTGATCCAGAGTCCACTGAAATCAGTGGGAGTCTTTCCATAGACTTGGGATCAGGCCCTAAAAGAGCAAAGTGCTAGATTGTGCGATTTGTCCCCATCCTTATGTGCAGGATGGCGCAGAGCCTCTCTGCTCACGGGAAAACGCTGGCACATTGTGCCCTCCTGGAGCTCCCGTGTGTGTGTGCTCCCCGCCCCAGGAGCCAATGCAGAGGGCTGGCAGGGCTATGGCCTCATGTCCCCATTGCCACGACCCTTTGGGCAATTTTCTTGATGGCGGGAGGAGGCACTAAGCAGCCCCTGCTCCTAAGGGCTGCTATTGCAATCAGCCCCGTTAGTGGTCCAGGCAGAGAGGGCAGGCTTCTTGCACCCCAGCCTCCGCAGAAGGACTGATCACAATCTGGCCATGAATCTGTATGTTCTGGCTACACAGTAATGGGGTGGGGTGGGCAGGGCCGGCTTTAGGAACTGTGGGAGCGCACAGCTGCGATGAAGCAGAGGAATTGGTCACAGCTGCGAAATTAAATGGGTGTTGTAACAACGAGGGCTGGAATGCAACAAGGGGAAGGACAATTTAGGCAGAAAGGGGCCCGCTGCTGCCCACACTAAAGTCAATCCATTTTTTTAGTGACCTCAGTGGCTGCATCCAATACCTGGAACAGCTTCCTGGCAGCGAGATCTATTAGACTGTGTAATGGGGCGGGGGTAGCCGCTCCATTGGTTGGGACATTTAACAGCAAACTTGACCCAACTCTAGGGAATCTGCTGTAAGGGAGAGTCCTGCCCGGGCTTGGATTGGCTCCTGGAACATTACCACCCAATGGAACTTTGCCGCCTTTGTGATTGTATAAGACAAGCCGCGCCCCCTTAGTCACGGGTTCTGATAAGGATGGCGGCCTTATCAGCAGAGGGGGTAAGGAGAGTCTGTCAGCTTCAGGTAAGGATAGCCGCCATTCATTCAGGTGGGTCAAAGCAGCCCGGAAATACTGAGAGGTCAGAGCCATTAGGTCAAATCCTACTCTAGGCAATACTGGTGGAAATTCCAAAGAACCTCATTGACACTAGTGGGAGCTACTCCAGATTTACCTCTCTGAGCTCAGAAGCTGGGTCTTTAACGCCACAGCACAGCCGGGGCTCGGCGGAGTTAGCTCTGAACCTCAGCACGGCACCCAGCAGGTGTCTCTGTGATGCTGACAGTCCTTTCCCTCTGCCTCTTTCTGGCCCCCAGACCTGCTCTCTTTCTCTTCTTTTCACCTTCAGATCAGATGAGGGTTTATACCCCCTCCCACTGCAATATTGAGTGAGGGGAACAAAAGGTTAGATCCCTGCACGCCACACCGTTGCAAGGCCCACACCTCCTTCTAAGCATCTGGGAATTAGAAGTGTTGCTGAAATGGCCTATATCAGATCTGGGAAGTTTATGGCTGGCCATTGTATACCTGGCCTCAAACCAAAGGGCAGTTTATGGCAGGTAGAACAGAGACGACAGAAGAGGAAGTACGCGGATCCTGCCCTTCGCTCCCACTGGGCACTCAGCACCCCGCAGGGTTCGGCCCCATGGATTTGACTCCCACAAAGACACTGGGCTGCAGCCTGTTGCTGGATGGCTGCAGTGATGAGGCAAATCTCTCCTGCTGCAGGACCAACCCTATAAGGGTCAGGAAGGAACTTTGCCGCTTCCATGATTGCACCTTTAGACATATTCCTGAGCAAGGAGTGGGGTGGAAGCTGCACCAACCCAGGAATCGCCTTGAGGCACAATTCCCTCCCCACGCCAGGGAGAAAGTACCTCACAGTGACTTGAAAGAGTGCTTGTACCAGGCCGGCTACTCCGACCTACTACGGGGGGATGCGGGTTGGAGCCAAGGCTCTACCCAATTTCCCACCCAGCCACACCTATCCACAGAGCAGAGACTGTGAGCTGCACCAGACCACGACCTGAAACCCAGCTAGGCCAAGCAAGGGTTGGAGGGGACATGGGGGTGGGTGGCTGTGACTCCCCCACTTGGTCCAGTAAAGCCCCCAGTCACTTTCTGAGAGCTGCTTGCTCCCCTCTGATGTGGGATATCAGACATGACAGACCAAGCAAGTGCCTGCATCCCCCGCCACTCCCATGCCACTTGCGTTTATGTCTCTGTGCCAGAGGGAAGAAGGGCGCCAGTGCCTGCGAGAGCTCCTGCGATGGGAGGAGTTTGATGACGTGAGGGATCTGAGGCGTAGCATAGAGCTCGACAGTCTTTACAGCAGCATTGTGTTCGCCATGGAGAAAGGGCTCTCCTGGCCTGCAGTCGTGGAAGCGGGAAAGCTTGCGGAAGAGCTGATGAACGAAACCAAAGGTGCGTCCTAGCGATGGGAACCGCCTCCAGCATCCTGCTTCTCCTGTCTGTCTCTCCCCGGTGTAAATCAGAAGCATGGAAGGCAGTGCTGTTACCCTGGGGTGAAACTGGTGCAAGGAGACTCAAGCCCTAAATGTTTGGGGGGAGGGGGTTAATATTTGGTGAGTCAGTTGTCCCCATGCAGCCCCCTCGTGACGAGACTTGAATACAGGGTTCCAGGAGAGGGTTCCACTGAACTCGCATTTCTTGAGCTTTGCACAGTGATGCTTTTGCATAGAGATGGTTTTGGCAGAGTCTCTCCAAGACAATGTGCACATGATGACTGTGGCAGTGCTGACTTTTGGAGAAAACGAGGTTGTCATCCAGGTAAATGATGACAAATTAGTCCAGCATGTCCCTAAAGATGTTATTTATGAAATGCTGCAAGGTCACCAGGGCATTGCACAACCCAAACAGCATGACCAAATATTCAAAGTGACCACAGCTGGTACGGAACGTGATCTTCCATTCCTCTCCTTCTCAGATCCTCCCCAGGTTATAAGCTCCATGGAGGTCCAAATTTGTGAAGACCTTGACAGAAAGGAGTCTTTTGAGTAGGTCATTAATAAATGCTAAGGGGTACTGGTTCGGATTATAATCTTGTTCAGAGTTTGGTAGTCCACACAAGGCCAGAGGAAGCCTTCTTTCTTTGCCGTGCAGAAGCTCAAGTCCCCGGCTTGAGATGTGGAGGGGTGAATGAACCCTGCAGGTTTTCCTTGAGATACCTACTGGGTGCCTGTAGTTCCGATTCAGAGAGGGAGTAAATCACCCGAAGGGAACCTCTGCCTCCAGCTGGAGGCCAACATGGCAGTGCCAGGGTGGTAGGGTGTCTGCTTTCTTTTTGTCAAACATGTTGGCAGAGTGATGATATTTAACAGGATTCCCTAGAGCTGTTGGGGGGGAAGTGGGGGTCATGGGGCTTGCCAGGGTCACTTTTGGATCCCCTCTTTGCCGCTCTGAATTCTCTGGATTCAAGTAAGCTGCAAAGGGCTGGTGGTCCCTTGTCAGCTCTTGGGAAACAGGATTGCTGCCTGATTGCCACTGGATGCATGGATCAAGGGCAATGAGCCAGGGGATGACAATGACAACTGATGAATTTGGTGCACAAATTAGCGCAAACTGGAGGATTTCAAAGGGTAGTTACCTCTAAGGGCGCTGTCTTGTGGGTGACCAGTTCTGGCAGAAGGAGTGACCCATCCATGGACTCTGCTAACTCAGGAGGGTCCTTGCACTGGGTGGGGATCTTGTGTGCTACTGCTTGGCTGAACTCCAGATCCATGAAGTTGCCTGAGGCACCCAAGTCCACCAGCGATTCTAGGTTGGCATCAGGCGTCACAGGGTGCCGGAGAGGGAGTTGGAGATGTGTTGGATGCTGATTGGCCATCACCAGGGTACTGGCAGACAAGTGTTGGTGTGGACCGTTGGGGAGAGGAGACCAGCAGGACTGGGGCTTGACATTTCCTGATGAGGGCACAGATCGGATCTTGGCATGGAAACTCAGTGCAAAGTCTCCTGGTTCCCCACAATATAGACACAGGCCTGATGCCTGGTGTCAATATTTCTCTATGTGGGGGAGGCAGGGCCAAACCTGATCAACTTGCATGGGTTTGGGTGATGGAGAAGGGACTGATATGGAGGGGGGCCAGACCGGCAGGAGCCAGAAGGCCCATCTTTTTTCTTGGCAGCGTTCAGTCAGGCTATTGTCAATCTTGATGCTTAGCTCAGCGAAGATATCCAGGCCAGACGGGAATTCCACCCAGGCCCGTTCATCTTTAAGATCATTGTTCAGGCGGAGCCAGAAATGATAACACTGGGCAGCCTCGTTCCACTCAGTGTCTGCTACCGAGCGTTGGAACGCCGCTGCATATTTAGCAGCTGGCCGGCCTCCCTGCCGCAAGGCCTGAAGTATGGCTTTGGCTGGATGCTTGCAACTCCGGTCATCGAAATCACTTCCACAGCTCAAACGAAGTCCTCAAATTGTCCCCGAAGCCGGCTTGATTTTCCCAGGAGTGGAAACACCTCCGTCAGGGCCACCCCCATAAGCAGGCTGATAATCAGTCCTGCTTTGGCTTGGTCAGTGGGGCATGCCTGCGGGCGGAGCAGAAAGAGGAGCCGACCCTGATTTAGGAACCGCCAACATTTGTTGCAATCACTACTGAACTTGTCAGGCACAGGGAGCAGGGGTCCGCACTTGCAGGGTGGCACCCTGAGCCTGCAAGGTCTGTAGGGGTCCCACTCGCTCCATCAGAGAGCTACTGGCCTTTGTGTTAGCTCTAGTTCCCTTATTATTTGTGTTTTCTTTTGGGGCTGCTCACACTGTCAGAGACCAGGATGTGGGCAGTCGCGCCAAGTGGTTGGAGCAGGAATTGGTAGCCAGGAATAGGAACCGAGGGTCAAGCCAGGATCAAAGGCCAGATGCCAGAGCCAAGGGGGAGAGCTGAAGCCAGGAATGGGAGTAAAGGTCAGTCAGGTTATCTGGAGCAAGGTAGGAGCAGGGCTGGGCCCAAGGCAGGTGCTATCACAGCCATGGGCGAATGCTTTGAGCAGCCTCCGAACTGCTGCTGCTGGGCTTAAGAGCTGCTCTGCTGACTCCTCCCACCAGTCAGGCAGTGTGGCCAAGGCTGGAACGAGGCCAGGAACAAGCAGACGCAGGGCCTACTGCAGCCGTGGGCGAATGCTTTGTGCAGCCAGTGCCCTGCTGATCTAAAGAGCAGGTCTACTGAGCCCCCTCAGCCAATCGGGGGTTTGGCCAATCAAGCAGCTCAGGTGGGGCCCAGCTGAACTCATTAGGCTGCCTCTGATTAACAAGCGAGCTGCGGGTCCTTACTCCCGCCACACAGGCGCAAACCACGCGTGTAAATATCGCCTGACTATTTTTCTTCCCACACAAGCGTCTAGATTTGGCACTGGCCCCCTCTGGTGGCCTTTGGCAAATCACCTAACTTCCCTGTCTCCGAGTCCCCCTCTGGAAAACGGGGATATTGACCGAATAAGAGGAGTGAAGATTAATCAGATAATGGTTCCATTCGGTCCCATCATTTACACGGGTGTAACTCCACTGGGGTCCCCTCCGGGATCACCAGCATTGCACTGGTGTAACTGAGGGGAGAATTTACCCCAGTGCCACGTTAGGGCCTGATGCATCATCCACCAAAGACAATGAGTCTTTACAACGGGCCTCAGCTTGGACCTCTAGAACCTGATCCTATAAGGCACCCTGAACCGCCATTGACGTCAGCGTGCTCCAAGGGCATTCAGCTCTTCGCAGGATCAAGCCCCGTTGTCACCTGTCAATCCCGTCCATTGCTTGCCTTGCTTTTAACATGCAAATGCATGTGTTTCAGGCATAGCTTTCAGCTGAACTACTTTGCCCTGGAAGGTGCACGGTGCCTCTTGCTACATGCATTATTTTGGTGACCTTAACATCATCCTCCGCAGGTTTGTGTCTTTTTTTTTTTGCCCCCACTTTGCTGCCAAGAAACAAATTAGAGCTAATACTGTCCTTGTTTGCTTATGAGATAATACATTCAGTTCACACCATTTAGGCGTGTCGTTGTGTTTATTTAGCACAAGATTTAAGCAGAGATGGACTCGGGCCAAAAAGTTTGGATCCGGATCTCATTTGAACTTTCTCAAATCCTTTCTTTATATCTGGGGTTTCAGGATTGAATTCCACCCCCTTTAGTTCTAGGGCTTGTCCTACACTCGTCCATGCAAAGGATGAGTGATCTCCCCCCCTACACACACACTTCTCACTCTAGAGGCTGTACAGGGCCAGATTCTCCTCACACGACTGATTTTATACCAGTCTTAGTCTCCTGACTTCAGCCGAGTTGCTTCTGATTCACATCAGCATACGTGAGAGGGGGAATCAGATCTAGAATAAGTTGAGAGGTGCAGGTGTCAGATCCCTTCCTCCTTCATGCCCCTTTAATGAAGAGCAGCAGATGAAGGAAGGAACGGCTGGTAACAGGGGCACCAGAAGGGGAGACAGGGGGCTATGCCCCCCCCCACTTTTTACCAGCTGTAAACGAGTGACGGGGGGAGGGGGCGGAGAGGAGTGAGTGGGGGGCGGGGTCTTGGGGGGGGAGAGGCGGCACCGGGACAGGCCCTTGGGGGAAGGGGCGGCGCAGAGGCGGGGCCTTGACTGGAAGTGCAACACAGGGGTTGGGCCACAGTTCAGGCATCAGTGCCCCCCACACACACACTTTTAGGGAGCTTCCAGTGCTCCTGGGCGGTAAAGCCACAGTGACATAGTTAGACAGGCCGTCATTACGCAACAGTCAGACAAAGGGACAGTTTTCCTACCTTCCATTCTGGGAAGCACAGGGGTAAGGGTCTGGGGAGGGGGCATCTAACCATCCTGGTGCACCTGGGTGTTTCACCTCACATCCCAGTCAGTTATAGTCCCTCTCTTCTCCGTGCAAGGTGATCAGAGCCACCCACGTGCCTTGGGATGAAAGAGAGAACAGAGCTCCCTTGGGGATGCCTGGATAGGATACAAACCTACCAGTTACAAAGCGTGGCCCTTGCGTTCCCTGCTTCACAACGCTGGGCATTAGAATGTTTACGCTTTTAATGCACTCACTAAATAACTGCCCGTTTGTATGACTGACCGTAAAGCCGATGCCTCTGGGTGTATGGCATTTAGGGCCTACGTGGTGCTGAGTACCACCTCCAAGGAGCTGAGCAGCCTTCTCCGCCAATGAGCAAATGGGAGCTGAGGGTGCGCTGCACGTCCCTCTATCTGGCCTGTGACGGGTGAGTCGGTGAGGATGGGGACCATCAGAGATTGCTAGCTGTTTACTTATGAGCTAATCACGCTGGTGCACATAGTTTGAGGTGGGTCGTGTTTGCGTAATGCTGGTTTTGAAGGCCTCACTGTTGTTGTCATAGTAGCCAACTTGTTTGCACTACATGTTTATTCTGCACATTCGCTCCTGGCTTGAAGAAAGTTCTGC